AGTCCCATGAGTGAATTCTGTTGTGACCATCAGGAAGAGAGGTAGACAGGGATGAGATCAAAGATGACTGGCCTGTAAAGGACTTGAACCTATGATACTGCCCTTCTCATTGGCTCCCTGCTGAAACCACACAAATAACTAGGAGAGAAGTACAAGGTGATGATTCTGGATAAGGGTTATTAGAAAATATAATGGGAAAGAAACACCTGGCATTATATACCACACTTGGTTCTCAAGGCATGTACACTTATTCCACCTCATATTGTTTTTTTAAATCATAGAATGCTAGGTTGGGAGTGGGTTATCCAGTTTCTTCACCTTGCAGAAGAAGTTATTACTCAATGAGGTTAAATGTTTTTCTCGAGGTCCCACAACTGGCGTACAGTGCAGGTCTCCTACCCCTCACTTCACTTCTTTACATTTTACTACATAAAATCCCAGTAAGAGAAGACGTCCCTTTGGAAAACTGAATAGAGGAAAGAGAAATATACTAAATCTTAAGTCTTGAAATTCCACCACAGAATCATTATGACCCACATTTTTGAGAATTAGAAGGCCCAGAGGTAATTTCCACTTTCACATTTTGCACAAAAAAAAATTCCTCATAATGTACTGCAAGAATAAGGTACTATTAACTTCATTATACTTTTTATTTTACATAATCAAATCATGAAGTGTTGAGTAGAAATTATAGTTCCCTTGCAACAGCTTTCAAATTTGTAGGCTGGCGGAACCACAGAATAAAGAATCTCACAGTCCAGATACTGAAAAAAGCTCCCCGTTGGGGGATGGTCATTTGTGGTCTTCAGTCACAATTTTGCTTTCAGGATAGGACGCGGGAGGGTTTGAGTGTGTGTGTGTGTGTGTGTGTGTGTGCGCGCGCGCACGCGCTTGCTCCCTGGTAGTGCTGAAGTGTTCTTTGATGTTGATTTTTTTTACTTGATAAATCACCTTTTTAAAGAAGAAAGTGACAGGTAAGTGAAACTGAAATGAAAAATCTGTTTCAATGTAGGGGGTAAGTACCCTGAGAGAAAGACAAGTGACTACAAGTTTGCCTTCACCAGTATGAGTGTGCCGGATTGCTGCACCGTTGCTGCAAGTACAGTCTTCTCTCTGATAACAATAAAAATCACCCCAGAAATCGAGGCCTCTTCTTGACCCAAAGCTGTTCCACCCACCCCAGGATGCTATTTGATCAGAAAAAAGTCAGTATTTCACACTGTGCTTTTTTATTTGCAAGAATCATTCCCAGGCTGCTCGTATAGCTATTTGATACTTGTAGCTATGACAGCATTTAGCTGATGAGAAGGCTGGGGAGTGAATTATCTTTTTACCAGTTCACATTTCAAGAGCAAAAATTCCCTTTTTAATTTGAGGAAAAATTACTTTTTGCTTTGAGGCACAGATGGGAGTAAGTTTCTTTTATGAGCGACAAGTTCTTTCGTGGTACCCTGCTCCTTTTTTCCACTACCAGAAAGAAGACAAAACGTTGGCCACACTAGATCCTCGGCTCTGACAGCAGTGCAGTTTAGATAAACTCATGAGAGCAGGCCCCACACCAAGTCCCTCAGTTCATCCTTCAGCCTCTCGATGGTTGTATCCAAACTACTAGAGTAATTAGACCTTCCAAAGGCATTCATTAAGTCAAATAATAAGCATCACTGAAAGCCTGCTTTACATTTAAGATGTTTTAGTAGCTGTGGGATACACTGGATAGTCACCACTTTTCCCTCCAGATCCACTCCATCCTTCTCTACCTGGCTATGGATCCCTGGAGGACATACCACGCAGGTCTTGTCAAGAGGATCCTATGTATTTTGAGCATCTAGTTGGGTTAGGCCAATGGGGGGGACCTAGCAGGAGACCAGAGGTCAGGAAGAGGGAGAGGACAAGGTAATTGCTTTCCTGATAATGTACTGCAAGAATAAGGTTATACTTTTTATTTTACACAATCAAATCATGAAATGTTGAGTAGAAATTATAGCTCCCTTGCAACAGCTTTCAAGTTTGTAGGCTGGTGGAACCACAGAAAAAAAGAAACTCATTGTCTAGATACTGAAAAAATTGGGGTATAGTCATTTGTGGTCTTCACCACAGTGGTATCTCCTTGCCTGGTCCTGGATCATAGTAACTAGACTACTCTGCCTAAGGTGACATCTTTTGTTGGGCAACCCTTTCTCACAAAACATAGTTTTCTCTTTTCTGGCACCTTCCTTTTCTCCATGTCCCTTCAGGCTTCTTGGTAGTAATGACTCTTGGATGTTGTCAGCCTACCTCATGTTGCTTTGCTTTAGGTCTATCCATACTTTCTTGTATGGTCCCTTTACCAGAATCTTCTCAATTTAGATGATTTGCATGTGCCATCATTTTCCCACAGAGCCCCCTGACTGATACAAGACAATAGTTTGTTTGTGGAAGCTGACCTAATAAGCAGGAAAAATGATGTAACATAGAGGAGGCAAATGGTGTGGCATTGACTGTGAGGCACCAAGTCAAGAGGGGAGGGTTTAAGGAGCATTGTGGAGAAGCTGTGGTTAGAACATGCTCTGAAGCAATTCAGGAGCTTGCTTCAGTAGCACATGTACTACAGCTGAAGTAATGGGGAGGACTTGGAGAAGAAAGGGGCAACCCAAGGATACAGTCCTATATCCTCTGGTAACAACTCACTTCATTGCTGAATTATTTTTTCCCAGGGAAACTTCTTTCATATATCAAATTGTGATGGTTAATTTTATGTGTCAACTTAACTAGGCTCAAGGGTGCCAAGACACCTGGTAAAACATTACTTTTGGGTGTGTCTGTGAGGGTGTTTCCAGAAGAGATTAGCATTTGTACCAGTAGATCCATTGGAAAGGTTTGCCCTCACTGCTGTGGGTAGGCATCTGATTAACTGAAAACCTGAATAGGACAGAAAGGGAGATAAAGGGCAAACCTACTCTCTGCATGAGCTGAGACATTTCTTCTGTCCTCAGTACTGCTCTCTTTGTTTTCAGCACTATGGACTTGGACTGGGACTTAGTTACACTCTTGGCTTCCCTGGTTCTCCCGACTTCAGGTTTGGACTGGAACTACATCACTGGGTTTCCTGGGCTACCAGCTTGCAGACAGCTTATCTTGGGGTGTCTCAGCCTCTATAATCATGATTCCATCCATTATTAAATATTTCTATATTTATACTTATATTTACATGTATATTTATATTTATATACACAGGGATAGAACTCTGACAAATTCACAGATCTGTGCCGCTTTATCTTCAGTGATTTTACCCCTGGTTAGTGACCAGGAGGAATTTTAGAAGCAGGGTTCATCAAACTCTGTGAAAAGTCAAATAGTGAATCTTTAGGCTTCACAGCCCACCTGAGCAGTCATAATGACTCAACTCTGCCTTGGGAACAGGAAAGCAGCCACAGACAATACATGAATAAATGGGCGTGGCTTATGTTCCAATAAAACTTTATTTACAGAGGCAGCATACTGGATTCTTTTTTTAAAAAAAGAAAAAGATTTTATTTATTCATGAGAGACACAGAGAGAGAGGCAGAGACATAGGCAGAGGGTGAAGCAGGCTCTTGGTGGGGAGTCTGATGTGGGACTCGATCCCAGGACCCTGGATTATGACCTGAGCCAAAGGCAGACATTCAACCACGTGTCCCTAACAAACTGGATTCTAAAGGATATCTGCATGTGGTAGAGAAATGGGAAACTTGGAGGCCTAGTTCAACTTTTCCTGGGATGTGTAATGTGCTGAGGCAAGCAAACGAGCAAGTTTAGAATGTCAAGCGAAGATGTATACACCCAAATGCATGAATTTGAGCACAGATAAACATTTCAGAAAGCTCAAAACTCACTGAGACTTTTTCCAAGTGCTAAATAGGGGCATCGTTGATGTTGCTCAGTGCAGCCAGTGGATTGTGAATACTAACCAAAAAATCTGCATTTTTGTAGTGCTTCAGGCATACCTGTAGCTTTCTTGACTCGCTTGGTGCTATAATTGGGCTACCTCTCACCATAGCAATGCCGTACAGAGCACAAACCACCAGATTGCTAGAGGTTTCCAGCTACTTAAATCCCAGCTACCCGTGACCCCTTCTTCTGATGTAAGAGATATGGTTTACTCAGTGCTTCAGACCAGGAGGCCTGACCTTTGTGCTCTAATATCAAGATTGCTTGAGATTTCTCAAGTGAATATCAAGTAGAGAAATGTCAGTGAGGAAGAGGGAGGTTTTTATTCCCCAGCTGCTTTATCCCCTACCCCCATAGGGCTGTTATCTCAGCTGCCTTACCGGGTGTCCTGAGAAGAACAGAGACCAGGCACTGGAACCAGGTGTGGGAAGCTGTGATGCTGTTTGAGGATCCAGCTAAAGCCCATTTTTGGGAAAAAGCAACAGGTAGGGGGAAGACTGGCTTTGGCCTGGGTTAGCTACCTGTCCAAAGTGTTGTGCCAAATCTTTGACTGCTCCCCCTTGACAGCAGGGGTGGGAGAGCAAGAAAAGTGTCAGATGTTTAAATGAATATTTACACAGTGAATCTGCCCAGCAGCCTAGCTGAGCGCATCATAGCAGGTCAAGAACACACTGGAGGAATGTCCTTCCCAGCTCCCTCCAGCCGCACAGACCCCTGGGGGCTCTGAGTGGATTTTGTGTGGGTGGGCTGGGAGAAGACAGGGAGGCTTGGCCAGGTAGGTACAGCCCCAAATACCTGGTTGCTAAGGGTCTTAAAGGGGCCCCAGATGAGCAGGAAAAGATTAGAACCCACCACGAACAGTGCCAGGAGGGAGGCTGCTGCTGAAATGGTCTGAATGGAAGGCAGGACAAGGGACCAGAAATAGAATATAACCAAGCAGCAGACGTAGACTATGTCGGCAGTGGGGACTGGTAACGTCTAGCAGGGAGTCTGGCTGGCTCAGTCAGTAGAGCATGTGACTCTCAGGGTTGTGAGTTTGAGCCCCACTTTGGGGGTAGAGATTACTTAAAAATAATAATAAAAAAAAGATCTTGGTGCTTACTTTAGTAGCACATACACTAAAAATTGGAATGATACAGAGAAGATTAGCATGGTGCCTGCACAAGGATGTTGGTGAAGTCTAACATGTAAGCCACTTTAGCAGACAGCTCAGCGTGTGCAGGGAGCAGAGCCATGCGTTGAGTGTGGATCAGGATGGCTCCCTTCCCTTGGTGATGAGAGCTGAAATTTCCTGAGACTTGCTACGTGCCAGACACTCTGGTTGCCTTTAGATAGAAATTGACATTCAATACTCATGATGACCTTTTAAGACAAGAACTTTAATTATTCCTATTTTACGACCAAAAAAAATCTGAAGCTTAACAAATTAAGGAACTTCCTCAGGGCCAAAGAACTGGTGTGTGGTAGACCTGGGATTTCAACCCCCTTCTGGCTGCCTCCAGATCATGCTGTCACTCTACGGTTAGTGGCTCAGAAGCAGAGAACCTTGCTTCTGGGGACTGGGAGCTCCTGGCATGGTGCTTTCCAATATTAAACAGCCCCAGCTTCAATAGGGCTAGAGGTTTACAGGTGTATAACTCCTGTACAGGTGTTACAGGTGGCACAGGTGTACAGGTGCCAGCTTTGTGCCTGCTGATGGCAGAGACCAGGCCTGATTTCAGTAAAACAATTGTTGAAGTGTTGGAGGATAAGCTAGAGAGGGATATGAGGAGTAAAGAACATGTGTTGGAACTTGGTCTAGGTCTGATTTCTGGTCTTGTGCTTTTTCTGATTAATCAGGTCTTGAAACCAACTTCCACAGAGATTAAAGTTCTTTTTTTATTTTTTAAAAGATTTTATTTATTTATTTATTTATTTATTTATTTATTTATTTATTTATTTATTTATGAGAGAGGGAGGGAGGGAGGGAGAGGGAGAGGGAGGGAGAATGAGCAGTAGGGAGAGACAGAGGGGGAGAGAAAGAGGCAGACTCCTTGTTTAGCCGGAAGCTTTATGTAGGACTTGATCCCAGGACCCAGAGATCATGACTTAGCCAAGGCAGACGCTTAGGTGACTGAGCCACTCAGGTGCCCTGAGATTAAAGTTTATAATAGTACATCTATATAATACATAATATATATAATACCCTATATCTATAATTTTGTGTTTTTACCCACATGGGGGCTCGCTGTGGTGTATATGTGTACAAGATGGGGATATTGACTGGGGCGGGAGTAGAGTAGGAGGAATGGTAAATGATAGGGTGCACCCAAAGTCCAGCTGTCCCCCAGGATGCAACAGGATTTATAATTTGAGTGATAAGCCTATCTAATGGTTTCACATGCTTTTGCCTGAGCCACCCACTGATGGGGGTTGGTAGAGAGCCAACATCATTTCCTATGAGGACGTTCTCCCCTCCACATGCCATTTGATTGCTCACGACTTGAGACTGATGCCCTCTCCTCTGGTATTGCACAACAGAACATCTGCCTTCATTATGGTGATGGCTCATGCTGATTGACTCCTCATCCCTTCCTCTTCCTTCCGTCCATCATTGAAAGTTAGGGCAGTCTGCCCCCATAACCATATACTCCAGAATTCTTACTAAAATGTCCTTTCCTGAGCTGCCATAATATTTATCTCTGGTCTTCATCACTACATTTAATGCTTTGTCTAGGGCTTGTCCACCTTAAATCAGGGTTTCTCAATCTATCTGACATTTTGGATGCTGTATTTCTTTGTCGCGGGATGGGGATGTTCTGGATGTTGTTGGATGCTCAGCAGCATCCCTGGCTTCTGTCTACTGGATGCTAATAGCTGTCCTCACCCAGCTGTGATAATAAAAACTGTCCTCAGACATTGCATGGTATCCTCTGGGAAGCAACATCAGCCCTGACTGAGCTGAATTGTAAACTCCTAGAGGGCAAGAGCCATGTCATACTCACAATTGGTTCCCTAAGATCTGACATGGAAAACACTCAGTGCAATGAGTGAACGAGTAAGTGAACTTACCAATGAGTAGCCATTTGTTCATGAACTAAGTACACATTAGCAAGAAATACTGGGTATGGAGTACGGGGGCACTACCTGGAGGAGGCATTGAGCACTGGTTCTGAAGTTTGGGATGGCAAACTTTTCAGTTTTACCAAGGATAATTCTAGTGCATGCATAAAGACTTTTCTTTACATCAGAGATTCTTTTTTAAAAAAATTAAATCCAAAAAAAATTAAAAAATGAAAAATAAAAAAAATTCAATTGGCCAACTTATAGCACGTCATTAGTTTCAGATGTAGTGTTCAATAATTCATCAGTTGCATATAATACCCCGTTACTCATCACATCACGTGACCTGCTTAATGCCCATCACTTAGTTACCCCATCTCCCACACCCTATCCCCTCCTGCAACCCTCAGTTTGTTTCCATTAGAGATTCTTAACATGATACCTGGACCCTTTTGTGTTCCAGGGTTGCTCAATAGGGTAAATTTATGAGAAGGCCCCAGGGGTGTTGAATTCTCCAAAGTATATTGTATTAGATTTTATATGTATGCACATATGTGCACATTTTTTATGGGGTGGGAGTCCATAGTTATCATCATATTCTCAAGTCCATCGCCTTAACCACTCGGCCACGAGTACCTGCTCTCATCATATTCTCAAAGGGATCCGTGACCCAAGAATGGTTAGGTAGCTTCCTCTGCCAGTAGTCTAGCAAGCCTGGCCCACAGGCCCTGCACACAGATGGCTCACCTCACCCAGGTCACAAAGCAGGATCTCAGAAGCCCTGGTGTGGGCTCCATCATCTGCACTCACCTGCTGCAATTAGTGCTGTCTGCCTGTCTCCAGCATAGCTCTGTGCTCTTGGGGTCTCAGAAATCACTTAATCAAAATAGGAACTGGCAACATTTTGAAAGTCCTTTACAAATGCTGTTATTGATAGATGATGAAATGATACTGCACCTTAAGAAATAAGTACAAATAAGTGGAGACATTTGCTTGGCATGTTCTGTGTTTTCTTAGGGCTGAGGGATCTGCTTGTCATTCTCCTGGTGTCTCACCATCTCTCAACAATGGGAAGCATCAGATCATACAAGTTTCCACGGCAACCGAGGTTTCTGTATCCTCCTCTGGCAGCCTAAGATTGTTCCTGCGGCAGATTCTCTAGTGCTTTGTCTATAACAAGAGATAGAGCTTTCACCGATCTCCTTAGAAGCTGGCCTTCAAAGCCAGGAGGCAGCTGGGTGTTCTCTGTGATAGGTGCCTGCATTCCTCTCTAGTGTTCCTAATTGACCAGCACAGGAATTGAGCACCTACTAAGTTCAAAGCACTTCACAGTGCTAAGGGTGAAGATCTATGTGAATGCTCAGAAATGCAAAGCATGATTTCTATTTTATGAAGCATTATGAAGTCTAGTCATATACAAAAATTATAGTAATACCAGGAGGTATACAGTGGTGCAAACAATAGGAGTGATGGGATTTAGAAAGGAGGTTGCTTTTCTGACTGTATTGATCAGGGAGGGCTTTCCTAAGAGGAAGAGCTTTTATATCTCCCTCAATGAAATTGGTCCAGATTTAATCTGTGGTGTCCCTGAGGTCCCTGAAGCAGAAATTTATTGAGAAAACCTTCATGTTTTAAGAGAATAGAGTATGACTCCAAGGCACCTGGCTTCTACTTGAGTTGCTGAGACTCTAAGAAAGCTCTGTTGTTATCCTGAACTATCCTCTTAACTTCCCTTATGTCCCCTCTTGCCACCCCTCCTCATCTTCTTACCCACACTTGCTGGTGTGGGCATGACGCATAGCACAGCTAAATCATCTTGATCTCCTTTCTTCTCACTTATCAGTGTATGTTATACTAACCGTGTGTGTGTGTGTGTGTGTGTGTGTGTGTGTGTATGCTGTATTTCAGCAGCCTGCCTCACACTAATTTACCCCCTGTATTATATAGTTCATTATTATCAATTAATATTTATGAAGCCTCCACGGGGTTTGTGGCTGAGAATTAGGCAGCATTTTCATTACTGCTGTTGCATTGCCATGTTCCATCGCCTTGGCTCAGCTTAGGCAGTATTTATGATCTTTCTGCCAGTTTTCTACTCATGTGACAGCCCTCATACTCATCCCCATTTCAATTAATATTTCAAGAGCAAATCCAGAAGCCATTGTATTAAAATGCTTCACTTAACACCAGATGCACTGCCTCAATGCTGTCCCTTTCATGTACTAATTTTGCAATTCTCTCCTAACATGGAATCCTATTTGTCTGGGCTGCTCTCTACAAGCCCAAACAACGGTTCCTCCCGGTTCCTTTACATTCCAGAAGTTCCAGATGTTTCCTCCTCATAAATTTCGCTTCCTTAACTAGGCTTAATGGATCATAATTGTCCATTTCCGAAGATGCCTCTGAGGTTTGCTTGCCTTCTGTCTTTCAGCACCTTTCTGGTCCTCACTCATAAGCAATTGTCTTCAGCTTGGTAGGTTTCCTAATATAATTAACTCATTGACTGCTCTCATGCACATAGATGTGTTGAGGGAAATAAAATCATTTGGTCTGATAAATTCTGGAGTCCATCTGTCAGAGCCAGCAGATAAGTAGGTTCAGGGACTGTTGGTCTTTTGTGGGGGGAGGAGCTATTGTCAGAGGCCTGCCATCCCTGGGAATGGTTAGGCTGTGAGGGCTTCCAGTAATCTAGTGTGAGTAGGCACAAGGCTGAGTGAAGTCTTTGAAGTTACCACCCAGATATGACTGGGATGTGGCTAGTGCTGTCATTCCCACCTCCCTGTGTGGAGTTCTAGCTAGATGATGGCGGTAGGTAGCTATTCAGATCGCGTGGGCCAAGTTTGGAACTCTGCTGTTAGGTCCCTGAGGCAGATTATCTGACCTATTTCCTGTTTGGTGAGGTCTACCAAAGAGGAAGTGAAGGTAGATGAGAGCCAGGTCTAATATGGTTAGCATTTCTCATCCTCTTAGGAGGACCTGAGAAACTTGTCATGGTTTTGCCTACAAAGACTGTATCAACAATATTATTTCATTATTCACTGCATCAGTTGAGATCCTAGGAGGAAACAGATGGCACACTCAAGCCAGGTGATGGAGGACAACCTAATAACAGGCCTCTTACAAAGGCAGGGCAGGATATAGGGAATTCAACAAGATTACA